TCGACCACTGGTTGCCGTAGCCCATATATAAGGTCAGTTTGAGCAGGAAAATTGAAGGTGGCTAAGAAGAGATAGATATCGTCTGGCCAATGAAAAGTAGATTTGTCTCACTAATGATGATTTGTGATCGCTGGAAGTGCTACTGCGTCGTAAAGTGTTTTCCTGAACGATCTGATACGGGATACATTCATTGGCACTATTGATTCAGACACCATTTGTTGGACTATTAAGTTTAATAACTTGACTCGTGGGTACCTAAATGTTTAGTATTTTAATATTAATTTAATGCAAATGTATGCATACCCAATAATATTAAACAGAAAATCTTTTGTAACTAATATACAATGTTGCGGCTGGGTAAATATGTCGACACTGAAATGAAAATCAGTCTAGCATAGGGAAAATTGGGGAATTACACCGCGAAATGGTGAATTGCGCAGCGGAGTTATTGTGAATCGGCATAAATTGAGCCAGCATAAACCGAGGGCTACTTGTATTGCACTCACTTTTTACTCACTTATTCTGTATTTCAACTCACTTTTCTCACTTTTTCAAAGGGGAAATGGCACTCCCAGGCCTGAATCGGTGACCTTAAGGCCCTCTGTGTCCCCCGCAAAGGAAGATATCAATGGAATCATGCCTCCTAATCTGCCTAACGCGGCTCCTCCTGCGGGCTTTGCTTGTGCACCTCCTGCTGTCTCTCCTCGCGCCCAACCTTCACCTCTTGTCTCCATTTTTTTTTTTTTCGAGTTATCTAGGGTCGTTTCTAAATTCTCTCTCACTTCTGACACCACTGTGACCGTAGGTCGGTGTCTCTTTGACACCACGTCAGGAGACCTGAATCTGACACCACCGAGTCTCGCAGGACTCGGAAATCGCGACGTTACATCACGCGAGTGGTAGCGAGTGAGCGATTGGATTCAGAGTAGAGGTGAGGAGAGAGACGAGGAAGTAAATTAATCAGATTCCATGGTTGCTAACAATTAACAATTTTAATGAAACTAAAGGAAATACAGAGAGAGTCAATTTTGGTCATAGTTCCCCTATTCAAGAGAGGCCCGTCGAGAGAGAGAGAGTTTACAAACGAATCGCGGGTTGATAAATACCTTGTCGATGGACTGTTCTTTCTACTAGTTCCGAATCTTGTCCATTCACTGGTGTGGAGGCACGGAGGAGTGTAGAGGCTTAACCAGGCACAATTTTTTTCTTGCGGTTTGAATCCTGGGTCACGATTTTAATTCTGGAGGATGACTTTGTTGGGCGGACTTTTGAAGACGACTCTCTTCTTGAGGGTTTTTTGTTTTTTCTTTGTAATTCCTCTTGGGTTTTTCCATTAGGTCAGGTGGTTATTGTTAAGGGTCTGGCGTCCAATATGGGCTCTCCATCGAAAGTTCCTGGTGACACATCCCTGACTAACTGGATCTGAC